GTACTTTTGGCAAGATAGAGCAGAGTAAATGCAACATTTAGTTGTGAAAGTGACCGTGTAATTTCCTTTTGTGTATTTGTTTTATTCTGCTATACTACAATGCCATCTAGAAGTAATGTAATAGAAAACCAGAAAAGGAAACACCCTGTGTAGTTCTCAAACCTCAATTCAACTTTTTGTAAAAAAACTATTTGCTGTTTTTGTTGCATCAGCCTAACAGGACTACCCGCTTGAAAATGGATCAGTACACTCTGAATCTGATTTTCCTTTCTACTGCTCAATATATTTGAGGCCAGTGGGTAATAACATGCAGTCATGCAGAGTGAGCTATCATTAGTACATTTACAAAAATTGGCAATCATGGTCAGTGATTGCAAATGAATCAGTTATGTTTCAAAACGGAATCTAGGTGAATGATTCAAGCAAATTCCATATTTATATAAGAACAATTAATAATCTCTGTGACTTGAAGAATGAGGTATGCATTGTCAGTGGGACCTTCCCTATTGACATAAGACCTTTCTAGTGAGAGTATAGAGGTTTTGGTTTTCTGAAGCAGGAAATCAGCTAGAGAAATAGTAGGACCATTAGATAATAAAGGCAACAATTGTATGTTAGGAGCTATATAACTTTATAAATGCAATAGAAATCATGGGTTGGTTGTAGTGGATTGGGCAAACGGGTTGCCTTCTTTGGGCTTCGCTCACAGAAAGTCCCTCTGTTCAGTTGCTTGAGCTTTCCCCTCCTGCAGAGTCACCACAGGTCACCTGGATCAACAGGATCTCCTGATTTTTCAGTGAATCATTTCCTGGTGACTACAGGGTCTGCCATGAGAAGAAGGGGTGGAAGAAATTCAATTGAACTACTGCAATTGAATCTGTGTAAATCTGAGGCTGTCCCAGTATATAGCCTCAGATCTTCTTCTTTCCTCTTAACTCATCTAGTTTATGCTGATATGTGGCAATGCAGTAATTTTTCACAATATAAGTAATGAATCTAGAGAATGCACAATTGCAAGATTCACTGATGGTATTTTTCTAAAAAAAGATTAAACCAATCACTTACAGTTTATCAAAGATGTTAAGTCACAAGAGTCAAATCAAATTTCCTTCTTCAGAACCAGTTTATTTCTCAGTTACAGGTATAGCAAAAACAGCAGAGGGAAGATTAGAATATTAACTAATTTGTTTTGTCTAGCAGCTCTTGTAAACTTTGATCTGAGCTAGCACAATGGCTCTTAATTTCTTACATTGTTAAAAGGCAATAAGTAAATTGACTTTTTTAAATGTGCATTATATTTAATTTTATATTTATTTTAAACATTTTTAAATCTTTGGGATGGGATCTTATTAAGTGAGCCAAAAAGAATTAACAGTGCAATCCTATGGCCCCTAGACAGTGTTGGATGCTTTGCAACCCCACATCTGGCTTCAGAAAACAGCTTTGACTTCCAAGTTAGAACTCCAGGTTTAGAAAGTCTTTTCCTGCCCCTTTCCCCCATTCTGCTGCTGGTACAGAGAAAACCATGCTGAAATTTCTTCAAACTCACAAAAGCCACTGCAAAGAAAGTTCAGGGGGCATTCCAGAGGGACAGGAAGGAGATGAGACTAGCACCACCAAGATATGAGGTATCCTGTTGGCGCCTCAGCCTTTTCCCCTCCCACTCCAAAGCACCCTTGTTTAATTGACTGTTTAGCTTGTTTGCAGGGAGGCAGAACATTGAGATGACATTTGCCTCAGAGCTTCTCCACCTTGCCTAAAATACTCATTCCCCTCTGAGTTCCGAAGGTCATAGGTGTCCCCATACGGCTGAACCCTAAAACGGCTATGATAACCAAGTCCATGTATATGTAAAGGAATTTAAAGTATAGTTCCTGTTCATCCCAGGTTTTATCTCCCACCCACTTTCTATTGCCTTCCTGTGTAAAATTTTAGACTGTAAGCTTCTCTGGGAAGGCCCTTATAATAACACAATATTTAATTAAGGAATTAAAATGCTATTTAAAAATGACTGTGCTTATGTAATATTGCAATTTATGTATTAGCAAGTTTCAAGGTAAAAATATTTAAAGGCTTATAAATTCAATGTGTTTGTTTAATGAATAGTGAACAGAACATAGCTTTGGTCCTGTCAATGATGGTGTACTACTTTACAGTAAACTGCATCAGATGATGATAGGTATCTTACCAAAGTTAATCATGTTTCTGACAAGCTCTGATTTCTTTTGATTTACGCTAGAAGTTACATGGGAAGACCAGCAGAAAAAGGTGAATGGTACAATAACTGATGAAAAAACATTGCCGAAAAAGAAACATCATATTCAGCCAGGTTTGTCAGGGTTTGGAAAACCACCTGAAAGCATGAGACTATAAAATTGTTACATTTCATGCTTTTGTAATGAGTGTGTGCTTAATGTATCTTATCTTTTTTTCTGTTTATGATTTTTAATTTTTTAGTATGTAGAAATTATTTAGATTAGTCATGTGGCGCAGTTTATTTTTTAGAGTAGCAAAAATAGAGCCACTTGTGTTAGAATGCACATTCATTAGAAAAAGTATTTGGCTTAAATTAGTGTATTGACATTCTTTTAAAAATGTTTCATTATTTTTATCATAATCTATGTTTGAAAATCAGAGATTCAAACATGTCCAAGGCTGTTATCTGAGTTAAGCTATACACATTTTTGGGAGGTTGGGCTGGATCATTCTTACAATGGGTTGCTTGACAGACACCCAACTGGAAAAGGGATACGAAGATAGAGGAGCAGGGTAGAATGAAGAAGAGGGTAATAAATAGGAAGCATATTTCAGGGCAAGATTTATTAAGAGTTAGACAAACAAACACTGGTGTTTGGAAGTGAGTGAATTGTTAGATCTATCTTAAAGTAGGGTCATCTTTCCTTAAAAGGATGAGAAAGAAACCATGAAGTAAATAAGAAAGCTGAACAGTTAGAAACAAGACTTTAATGTATTTAAAAGTTGTGCAATCTAGATTTTGAATATACAGAGTACATTTGCTGCAAAAATATGAATATCTAACTAATGCCATGCATTAAGATATACTGATCCTATATTGTAGGTGGGTTACAGGACCTGCCTTTCCTTATCAAGGAAATGGATCCCCAAATCCTTAATGTGGTGCTGAAGAGACCAGACCCATGACCTTATTTTCTTCCTCCTCCCTCAAATTATGTTCTACTGAGTAGGTGAGCTGTTACTGCCCAAGAAGGATTGTTCAACTGGAAAATTGCTTTCCCTTTCATCCTCTTCCCCTGCCTTACTCCTCACCTAATATCTTCATTTCCCCCCAACTTTACTCCTTCTCATCATCTATAAAATGCCTCGTGAGTACATAAGTAACTGAAGGTATCAGGTTTTAACACTGAAAGGGAGGCTGGTTTTCTCCAAACCAGCAATAATGACCTCAATCTTCCATTCTTTCACAGTGTTCCTCTGACATGCCTTGATGGTGCTGCTTTTTTACATAGCATATAAATGAAATACATTCAGTAAATACTGTTCATAAGTACTATAGCTTCCTGTGGGCTATTAATTTCTGTCTCACTAGACTTGGTTTTGATACCAACTCAAAACCACCAATCCTCTCAGGCAGATGTCTGGGTATCTACACTTTCTTGAAAAGCTCAAATTAACATTCTATGATTTCTTCATAATACAACTTCAGATCTCCTAATCTGGAGATGGAGTCATGTTTTATGTCAAGTTCACTAGCAGTCAGAAAGTCAGCTTAACCTGGTATGCCTGGTACAAAAAGATTTGTGTATAAAAGAGATGCAAAGCTATTTTCTTTTCACTGCCCCCACCACCAATGGGCCATTTATAGGTCCTCTGTGCATAATTATTGGAGATTTCAGAACAAATCCCTGCATACGGAATTTGGACATTTGATACTAAAGATGCATTATTTTCTACTGAAGATAAGAATACATTGGGCAGGGCACGGGATTGTAATGAAAGACCAGTCCAGACCACTTATACTTCAGGAGAAATTTGCAGGATTGGCAAAAGAGCTCCTGTGTGACATCTATAAAGGTGTATAGTAATGTATTCAATTGTGATCTAGAAATGAGAAAGCTATCTGAATTCAGTGTTAATTCATTTAATTCAGGGGTCTGCTGAACAGCCAGTAGACAAAGGCTTGATGGGCTGATGTTCTTATTTGTTAGATTTAATTCAGGGCTTATGAATTCTGGCAAGATTTTGTATACATACAGGACTCATCGTTGTTTGGTAACATATGCTGACTTTTGAAAGGGGAATGGAAACTTCCCTAAGTAAAATTTATTAATTTAGGTAAATAGTTTTGAAGGTTGATGTTACATTTAGGGTCATTTTCTCTCTGTTTGGCTTTATGAATTGCTTGTCAAATGAATAAGATATATGAAGTACATGAATGGTTGGGAAAATAATTTTTACCTCATTGTAAATTGAGTTGAGGTTGAAAATGCCTGTTTTTACTAACCTTGGTGTAGTTTAATAATATTTAATGTTTATTTATGCATTTATTTAATAAATACTAATTTATTTGGGCATTCTGGGAAGCATTTGTTCAGCTTCCAGAAAACATGTTTTTTCTGCTGTATAAAATTGGTTTGGTTTCAATGAGAAATCTGATTAAAAGATTTAAAACTATTAATATGGATATGGGAAAATGTCAGGATTAAATTTTAACTTTACTCCAAAATAAATGTTTAATATCTTTTTTTCCCTAAGTGTTTCCTAGCCCCACTGGTCACGCAGCTGTAATATTGCTTTCCACTCTAGATCACTAATATTGACTTTCTTACTTTTCTGGTTCAAATTATTCCTTTTAGTGTTTGCTGTATTTCTTTTTCCGATTGCCTGACTATGCACTACAGGTTTCTTTCTCAAACAATTGTGGCCCTTTCCCTCAGTGTCAGTTTTTACCTTCTGAGTACATCCACTCACGTCCATCTTCTTTGTGTCTGTTTGTCCATTCCACGATGTGGTAACAGAAGAAGTGGAATCATCATGGAGAAGAAACCCAGGTCTGTCTCTTCTATTGATTTTCTCTCTTCTATTTTCATTCGGACTTGCCCTGTGATTTTTGTCATCACATTTCTTTCATATATGACTACATACATGATTTTCCTTTCTTCTTTCCTTTCTGTCTCCCCCACCCCCGGGCTCCTCTCACCCATTGCTTTGTCATCATTAGAAAGGAATGTTATACTAGGTAGGTTTAAGAATAGATATAATAGGTTTAATTGTTTTGTATAGGTTACAAATTACATAGAATACAAAAGAAATGTTTTTAATGATACATTAACTAATCAAGCAAGAAAACTTTTTCATTCATATTATTTTCTGTCTGTGTATTAAGATTTCTAGGTTTCTACTAGATTAGCCTTAGAAAATAGCTTGCTCAGACTCTTGTTCTTTTAAACAATATCTTAGAGAAATTAGGGAAATGTGAGTAGTTGAGGGTTATTTTCCTGTAAAGCAGTTTAACATTTGTAAAAGCTAAAGAAATACATAGACTTCCACTCCATTTTGTGAGAGATGGCCCTTGCTTTTTAAAGCCCATGGTGATACTAGAGAGCAATGCAGTTCTAAGTGCATTTTTGTGAAATGATTAGGAACAACAGTACATATAAAATAGCATAATGATAAGCATTAAAAATTGTTTCATGTTTAGCAATGTTAAACATTTAGAAATGCTATACCTCTGTATGATGATGCCAGTGATATCTGATGATGTTACTGAGAGTGTAAGAGGTCAAATCTGTCTCTAATGACAGGTGTAAACCCAGCACTCCTCCATCCTCCTGCCTGTGTGCCTTCTTCTGCAAACTGCCTTTCCACTAGCTTTTACCTATGTTGCTTTTCAAGCAAAAGCTGAAAAGGGTAGAGAATTCAATTTTTCAGTTAGTTTTTACAACACTGTTGTTGTTGTTGTTGTTGTTGTTGTTGTTATTATTATTATAACATTTCTATGCCGCCCCTTGCTGAAACCTCGGGGCAGCTTACAACATGATAAAATACATTGAAATACAATAGTACATAATAAATTACCATTAAATACAAAAATACAAAAAATACATTGATTTACAAATATAAAATTAAAATTATCAGTATAAAATAAAAATATAGGAGGAGAAAGAGAAGGAAGAAGAAGTTGCCCTGGCCAGATCATATGTTTTAACAATTGAAATGATGTTTAAATAAAAAGGTCTTTACCTGGCGCTGAAAAACCAGTAACGACGGTGCCAGGCGGACCTCTTGGGGAGTGAATTCCATAGGTTGGGCGCCACCGCAGAGAAAGCCCTCCTCCGGGTACTTACTCTCCTAATTTACACTTATTACAGGGTAGGCAACATGGTTCCCCTAGTCTCCAGTCCCCCTGACACTTTTATTGGCACTTACCAAAGTGGTCCTCTCCTTTTGATTTTTTAAAAAACATCACATTTCCTTTTTTGGCAGCTTGGATGTCTGTCAAAATTAAGGATTCCTTAGTGACTTAGGTATTAGACTGGACCTCTCTCTTGTATTCAGTTTATTTTCTTATGGTGCCTATGGCATTTTCTTGAATTGTCCACAGACTAAGCATGTTACCAACTCTTGAGCTACTAATATGGGTCATATATTAGAAGTGGGAGAGGGAAGAGAGAGAGCTCTTTCCTTCACTTCTGGAGCAGGAAAAAGAAAAAGTGGGAGAGCCCAAGAACTATACCGAGGGTTGGGTGAGAACAGGCAAGCAAACTGGTGAGAACCCTTAGACTAGTCTCCAGCTTTGAATTTAATCTGAGCTGGAGATTAATGTTAAGAGGTGTATTGCTTGTTTGTATTGACAGAAGTAGGACAAACCTGCTTGGATTTGTTTCCTAGCTTTGACTGTATCATTTGTGGCATGTAAGATACTGATCCACTGGAAATATGTTAGTGTGCATGATGATGGCTAATTTACTTCGGTGGGACATTAATGTAATTCTTGATCGCACACACTGGATAAATGGCCATCTTCACTTCTACACACATTTCATTTTTTCATTGACTATGTAAAATATTATATATTTGCCATGATTTAGTTATCATGATTCTACCTCATTGTTCCTTACAGAAATTCACAGCAGTAAATCTATGCTGTGCAGTACAGAAGGTTAAATTTTCTTAACAAAAAGTCTGTAAGATAGTTAAGGCTGATAGAGTATGTGTAGATTTAGGTCTGGTACTCATGTTCTTCCTCATCTCACCTTCACTTTCTGAGTTTTAGCACTGTTGCCAATTCTTGGAGGCAAGCATTGGCTTACACAAACTTATTCAATGTTACAGCAAACTATGGTTTACTTATACCCCAAATCAGTGGATTGGAATATATGAGGATTCAAGCAGAGGGTGGACACCACAAACCCGAGGTTCAATGGCCAGATCATAGTTTGGCCATGCCATCTTAACCCATCAGTGTCCCAGACTACCAAATGAGTTTCATGACTGAGCCAGGATTTATAACTTTGTTCATCATTTTGGTTATTAACATTCTTCCCCGATTGTATACAATATATGCATTAGTTTTCTAGGGTTAAGCCTACAGATAATGTGTATACATTCTCTACTTCCACAAACAGGTATTCAGCTAGAAATCAGAAGATCAAACATAAAAAGCCCTTTGACATTTACATATAGAAGCTCCCTATCCTTTGCTCATTAACATTTTGATCTGTAGAATTGGAATGCTGGTTGGAATTGTTTTGTCTAATCCAGTTACAATTCAAATATGTTGGATAGCAAGTTTCTGCTTAAATTGTTAATTGGAGGGCAATTGCATATACTTTTATGGGCTCTAAAACTATGCTGATTAGGATCTCACTGATTTTCAAAACACTCACTGGATAGGGGCACTAGTAAAAGGCCTGTACAATTGTTAGAAGCTGACGTAAAGGGATTGGAAGAGCTTTAAAGCAGCCTATTTCTTCATGTTTTATCTAAAGAATGATAAGAATGGTGAGTGGCTATGAGTGTTCATTATTTACCTAAATGAGTGATCAGTATTTTCCAAGCAGGAGTCATTTTGGCTCCAAGTACCGTCACTGAGGCAACTTGGGAACCATTTCTGAGCTATGGGGCAGAATTTCTCAGCACGCATCTGCAGTACTCTCTCACCTGCATTCTGTTTCCCCTTCAGTGCCTTATGCTGCACAGCACTACAGGTAGCCTGTCATATCTTTGCTTCTTGGGTTTCTCCCCTACCACAGCTGATTAGACGATTGCTCCTGTATTATCATCTTCTTTCCCTATTCCTAGCCACCTTCTTTGTTTAATTTTACAACCATGAAATCCTATATGATTAAAGCCCATAGAACAATCAAACAACAAAAAATCATAAAAACAACAAATACTAACAAAACATTTGTTCTAGGAAGTACTAAAATCTGTAGTTTCACCTTGTAGGTGCTTAGTGGCAGGTCTCCTGATGACTCCTGAAGCTGGCTCACTAGTAAAGCCAACAAGGCAAAACTAAAGAGCCCTTGCTGAGAGTGAACCACTGCTATAAAGACAGAAAATGAGAAAGGCTGTGGATGTGCAAAGAATGCATTTTGGTGGATTCAGACCATCAGGTTTTAGCCTGTCTACCCAGGAAAAGCACCAACTTGCTTTGACACAATCAAGCCAGCATAGACTCTTCCACTTTTGAAATGGCCTGACATTTGCATTTTTGAAAGGTAAAGAAAATTGCATAAGATATGGCCACAGTTTGCACAAATTGCAGCCACATTTTGTACAAATTGCTCTGCCTTTATTTTATTTTATTTATTTTTTTGGGGGGTGGGGGAGGCTTACAGCCTTTCTCGAAAGCAGAAGGAAGACACATGGCCCCCATACCCCAACTCTGGCCCACTATCAGCTTTCAGTGAGATGTGCCCAAGTCCATCAAGCACAGGAATATCAAGTTTTGCACTGTTGCACATGTCTAAGAGAAACTGAACATGTGAGAGAGGCAGAGGGCACTTAAGATCATGGCAGGGGGGTGGAGGTTGCAGAACGTCCTATGCCCTATCAAACCAAGGGGCCATCTAGTCCAGCATTCTGTTTATATAATGGCCAACCAGCTGCTTTGGGAAACCCTCGTGTGTGTGTGTGTGTGTGGGGGCAACAGCAAGTTCTCATGAGTGCAACAGCACTTTCTCTTCCATGTTCCCCAGCAACTGACATGCAGAGCCAGATTGCTTCTGTTACCTGTGGCATACAGTCATCAGACTCAGTAACCACTAACAGCTTTATCCTTTCATACATTTTGCTAATTCTCTTGTGAACCCATTCATATTGGGGGCATTCATGGCATCTAGTGGTTGTGAATTTTGTAGTTTAACTATGTGCTCTATGAAGCAGTACTTTTCCATGCATCTCCTACCAGCCAGTTTTATTGGATAACTCCAAGTAGCTTGTTGGCTTCTGCTTACATCTATTTGGCTCAGTGGATTTTATCTGTCTGTATGCTCCCACTAATCAGCTTTATAAACCTGGGATGATTGGGAGCCACTAGTGGGCCTTAACCTTTGCAATGAAGAACAATAGTCTAAAGCATGTCTGTAGAAAAAGGGTTGGGGGTGAGTACGATAGTTGGATCATCTTGGACGTATCAGAGACAGTTCTACTTGCAGCACATGGTACTGTCATCTAGCATTCACTACAAGAAATAGTGCTCCTGCCTTAAAAATCTACAGCCATGATGTCCTCTACAGTGCATTAGCTATAGCTATAGAGGGTACATTATTCATATTTGCACTTTGCTTGCTTGCTAGCTTGCTTGTTTTGCTCTATTTCTCTTACATGTTTAAACAGTTCTTTGGTTCAAAATAAAATAGTGAGGTAGACTTTAACAATGGACAAATACTACTGTGATTGATAGCTGTTAGGAGATTTTGTTTCTTAGATGAGTTGGCTAACTGATGGCCCTCAGGCTGAATCAAGTGTATTAAAATTATTTTATTTGGCTCCTAGTAATCTTATCAAATCTTAGCCAAGGTATTGTATAAAACAATCCTACAGT